ACATGCGCGCGCTCTGTGGAACTCGCGAGACCACCATCGTTTTTTCCAGGTTTGCCATCACATTCTACCAAGTAGGGCCTCTCGCGCGCGCGCCGACATTCCGACGCCCTCGCGCGCGTGCTGGAGAGGGCGGGGGGGCCCAATGGTCAGCGCCACCGCGGCCGCGACGGTCGCGTCAGACTAGCTGGCCGCGTCGCGCGCGAGCCTGCGCGCTTGCGCGGCCGCGGCGGCGCGCCAGCCAGCACAGAGCAGCCATCGCAATCGCCGCCGCGTGAGTTTTGCAAACCACATTGCCAGTGGGCGGGTGGGATGATTGCGCGAGCAGTGGAGATGACAACTTCATCCGGCAGGGTGAAATCTCCTCTCTTACATGAAATTAGTTCCTACCCCATCACCGCCCCGGAATTATCCGCCGCGCGCTTCGATTGGAAATTCATATATGATCGCGGCCCTTCGGCCATTTTCCCGGTGAGTTCAACCCATCCCAAGCCAGCCGGCGCCAAACCCCCCGCCATCCTCCGTGCATACTCGTTTATTAATAATGAGAAATTACCAGAAACCCGTTGCAACAAAAAACGAAGTACACGCGCGCGCGTCGTCGCGCGCGCAAGCCGGAACCCTTCAAACACCATTGGTTCCATAAGGATTGCAAAATCTAATGTCTAAAACACATTATATAACAAAACACATAATCTCGCAGCGCGAATTTCCCAACCCAAAAAAACATGCGCGCGCTCTTGCGTTGTTTTCGTTGTAAATGAAAACATGGTTTTCAAGGTTCTCAGAAAGTGCGACCAAAAGGGCTTCGCGCGCGCGCATTTCGAAATCGTTCGGGCGCCCTTGCGCGCGTGCCGTAGACGAAGTGCACGCGCGCGCGTCGTCGCACGCCCATGCCGAAATCCTTCAAAAACCGTTGGTCTCGAAAGGGCTTCAGAATTGAGGGCCCAAAAAACATGCAAAACACTGGGTTCCGCAACGCGGATTTTCATCAAAAGCGTGCGCGCGCGCGCTCTTGCGAATTCTTAGGAAAACCAGGCGTTGCTTTTATTTTTTCACGCAGTGCGACTACAAGGGCTTCGCGCGCGCGTGCCGAAATCGTTCGAACGCCCTTGCGCGCGTGCTGGCGTGGCACGACCCGTGTCAAATAATACCATGCGAGCCACTCTCGCGCGTCTGCCGCGCGCGCATTTCGAACTCCTTCCAAAACATTCATCACCGACGCGAAGACGCCATCATCGTCGTCGGCGTGATCGGCATCGGCACCGTCACTGGCCGCGCCGTCTTCGCTGTCAGCATCGTCACCAACATCGCTACTACCATCATCATCGTGTCTACAATAAACGACGTAGCCATGATACCGCACCCGCCCAAGTCGCCGACTCGCACTCAAGTGCCCGCTAGGATGTGCCGAGCGGTCAGCACCACCGCGGCCGCGTCGGTCGCGCCAAACTACCTGGCGGCTGCGCGCGCGCGTGCGCGGGTTGGCGCGGCCGCAGAGATGCAGCAGCCAGCGACAACCACTCATTGCAATCGCCGCCGCATGAAGTTTGCAAATCAAGCTGCGGGTGGGTGGGTGGGATGATTGCGCGAGCAGTGGCGTGGACAATTCATTGCGAATAGAAGTTGGTTCTCCTTCCCCCCAAGAAATAAACTCTACCCCCCCCCCCGGCGTTATCCCCCCCTGTCGGGTATGTAAATCAGTTACGATTCTGACCACCTGTCCACCCTACATATGAATCTACAGTATCCCAGGGGGGCCGGTATCGACCCACCCCGCCATCCTCTGCAAAAAGATACTATGCGCGCGCATTCGTTTATCACAAATCAGAAGTTAACATGAATCCCTTGGAAAAAATTGGACGAAGTGCAAACGCGCGCGTCGTCGCACGCGCATGGAGTTCCCAATCGTGTCGGAAGGATTTCGCAATCGAGTTCCCAAACAACATACAACAACACAGGGTTGTGCACCATTGACTTGCGAAGAAAGCTTGCGCGCGAGCTCTTGCGAAACCTGAAGAAAACCATAGGTTTTTCCATATTTTCACAAGATGCTACCAAACGGGCTTGGCGCGCGCGCATGTCGAAATCAGCCGAACGCCCTTGTGCGTGTGCCGTCGCGAGAACCCTTTGCAAAAAACATGACGAAGTGCAGACGCGCGCGTCCTCGCGCGCGTATGCCGAAATCATTCAAAACCCATCGGTTTCGGAAGGAGTTCAAAATCGCGCGTCCAAAAAACATACAAAAACAAAAGGTTTCGCAGCACGGATTTTCAACAAAACCGTGCGCGCGCGCTCTGGCGTCGTCGTCGTCGTCGTCGTCGTCGTCCTCAATCCTCCCGCGTCGTCGTCGTCGCCGTCGTCGCATACGTCGTCCTCTGTCATTCCTCTTGTTCGTCGTCGTCGTCGTCGTCTTTGGCGTCGTGGTCGTTTCCGTCGTCGTTGTCGCCGTGGTCGTCCTTCCTCCTCCTCTCTCGTCGTCGTCGTCGTCCGTCGTCGGCGTCTCGTCGTCGTCCCTCCTATTTCGTCGCCGTCCTCGTCGTCGTCGTTGTCGTCGTCGTCGTCTTCAGTCCTCCCTCGTCGTTGTCGTCGTCGGCGTCGCCGTCCTTCCTCCTTCTTCGTCGTTCGCGTCGTCGCCGTCCTCCCTCCTCCCTCGTCGTTGTCGTCGTTGTCGCCGTCGTCGTCCTCCCTCCTCCCTCGTCGTCGTCGTTGGCGTCGTCGTCGTCTTCGTCGTCGTCGTCGTCGTTTTCTTCGTCGTCGTCGACGTCAGCGTCGTCGTCGTCGCCGCCGTGGTCGTCGTCGTCGTCGGCGTCGTTGACGTCGTCGTCGTTGTCGGTGTCGTCGTTGTCGTCGTCGGCGTCGGCATCGTCATCGTCGTTGTCATCGTCGTGGTCCTCCTCGGCGTCGGCGTCGTCGTCGTCGTCGTCGGCGTCGTCGTCGTCGTTGTCGGCGTCGTCGAAGTCGTTGGAGACGTCGTCGATGTCGTTGTAGTCGTTGTCGGCGGCGTCGTCGTCGTCGTTGTCGCTGTCGTCGTCGGCGTCGCTCGCGGAGACACACCAGCCAACGCCGAGCATGCATCGCAATCGCCACCACATGGGCTTCGCAAGCCAAGTTACGGGTGGGTGGGTGGGATGTTTGCAAGAGCGCGGGATGTGTCAACTCGCTGGCTAAAATCACCAAAAAAACACATAATAGTCTCTACCCCCCTGGCGTTATCCCCTCCTTTCGGGTATGTAAATCATTTATGATTATGACCACGTGTCCATCCTACCTATGAATTTACACTACCCCAGAGGGGCCGGTATCGACCCCCCTGAGATTTTTTATATTAAAAAAGAAAACAAAAAAAAACGATATGCGGGGACATTTTTAGTTCTAACATAACACTTTTCACGAATCCCTTGCAACAAAAAAAACAGGACGAAGTGCACACGCGCGCGTCGTCGCGCGCGCATGCCGGAATCCTTCAAAAACCTTCGGTCCCGGAAGGATTTCGCAATCGACTTCCAAAAAACATGCAGAAACACAAGGTTTCGCAACACTGATTTGCTAAACAAGCTTACGCGCGAGCTCTTGCGAAATCCAAAGAAAACCGTAGGTTTTCCAAGATTTTCACAACATGCTACCAAACGGGCTTCGCGCGCGCATGTCGAAATCTGTCGAACGCCCTTGCGCGTGTGCCGTCGCGAGAACCCTCTGCAACAAATGGGACGAAGTGTACACGCGCGCGTCGTCGCGCGCGTATGCCGAAATCCTTCAACACCCATCGGTTTCGGAAGGAGTTCACAACCGTGTGTCCCAAAAACCTACAAAAACACAAGGTTTCGCAAAACGGATTTTCAACAAAAACGTGCGCGCGCGCTCTGGCGTCGTCGTCGTCGTCGTCGTCGCCGTCCTCAATCCTCCCGCGTCGTCGTCGTCGTCGTCGTCGCCTACGTCGTCCTCTGTCTTTCCTCGTGTTCGTCGTCGTCGTCCTCTTTGGCGTCGTGGTCGTTTCCGTCGTCGTTGTCGCCGTGGTCATCCTTCCTCCTCCTCTCTCGTCGTCGTCGTCCGTCGTCGGCGTCTCGTCGTCGTCCCTCTTATTTCGTCGTCGTCGTCGTCCTCCTCCCTCCTCCCGCGTCGTTGTCGTCGTCGGCGTCGCCGTCCTCCCTCCTTCTTCGTCGTTCGCGTCGTCGCCGTCCTGCCTCCTCCCTCGTCGTTGTCGTCGTTGTCGCCGTCGTCGTGCTCCCTCCTCGCTCGTCGTCGTCTTCGTTGGCGACGTCGTCGTCGTCGTCGTCGTCGTCGTCGGCGTCGGCGTCGGCGTCGTTGTCGTCGTCGTCGTCGACGTCGTCGTTGTCGTCGCCGCCATCGTCGTCGTCGTCGTCGACGTCGTCGTCGACGTCGTCGTCGGCGTCGTCGTCGTCGTCGGCGTGGTCATCGTCGTCGTCGTTGTCGTCGTCGTCGGCGTCGGCGTCGTCGTCGTCGTCGGTGTCGTCGTCGTCGTCGTCGTTGTCGTCGTCGTCGAAGTCGTCGGAGACGTCGTCAGTGTCGTCGTAATCGTCGGCGTCGTCATCGTCGTCGTCGGCGCCGGTGTCGTTGCCAAGTGCCATTTGGAAACAACCGTCACGGTCTTAAGAGGTTTTGCAAACCAAGTTGCGGGTGGGTGGGTGGGATGTTTGCAAGAGCACGAGATGTCACATCGTGGGTAAAAATGTATTGCACCACGCAGAATGCACCATACAGAGTGCACAACATTTGGTTGCACAACCCAGATTGCACCACATAGATTGTACCACATTTAGTGCTAGAGACACGCTGTTTGAGGTTCACGCGGGCTGACCTTGTATAGTATCGATCGGGTATCATGCACAATTTGAAGCACGACGCGCGTGTCACTGATACTCTCATACCAATTGTGACCCAAAGCTCGAACTGGGACACAACCGAGGGAGACAACAACACCATGATGCAAAACGGCACTGGGCACCGGGTCTAGCTGGAAACGATCGCCCGGACCGGCGCACCTCGTCACCGTAGTACAGGTGGTCTCCCGACAGGGTGACCGTCCTGTCGAGCGTCTTGAGGAACTGCTGCACGCCTGGCGAAGAACATACTGGTGAGGGTGATGGGGAAGAACGAAAGGAGGAGGAGGAGGAGGAGGAGGAGGAGGAGGAGGAAGACCGTGCTTGCGGATGTAGTTGTTGTGCTCCTTGCTGTCCTTCCATAACAAAGGCTTGCCCACCTTGAGCAGCCCCATAGCCGACTCCTGCAATCGGGAGCCCCTCCAGGGGCAAATGACAGGAGGTTGCGGCATGTGGGGGAAAGGAACATCTAGAGCGGCCCAGGCCCCAAAAAATATGGGGGGGCGGGCCTTTTTGATTTTGCTGCGTCCTCCCTTTCAAAAACTGAGCAGGGACCGACCGTCCAGACCGACGACGTGTTTTTAGAGCACAGCAACGTTCTCAGAACAAAGACAGTGTTCTTAGAACAAAAAGCCGATGTACTGAAACCAGGCAATCTCAGTCAAAAATGGTCTTAGAACATTTTGGGCAAACCACAAAAGGATCTTAGAGCACTCCTTGGTGGGCCCATAAGTAAGCGGGGACGCGTTGCCACAGAGCGGCCCAGGCCAAAAAATATATGGGAGGGCGGGCCTTTTTGATGTTGCTGCGTCCTGCCTTTCAAAAACTGAGCAGGGACCGACCGTCCCGACCGACGACGTGTTTTTAGAACACAGCAGTGTTCTCAGAACAAAGACACTGTTCTGAGAACAGAAAGCCGATGTACTGAAACCAGACAGTCTCAGCCAAACATGGTCTTAGAACATTTTGGGCAAACCACAAAAGGATCTTAGAGCATTCGTTGGTGGGCCCATAGGCAAGCCAGGACGCGTTGCCACTTCTCGCAGGAAAGCTTCCTGCATCGTCGCTCGGCCCATGGGAAAAACATGTCAGAATGCCGTTGCCACCGTCCAAGCGCTCCCGTCGAACTCAAGCCGACGGCATGGGGACACTTGCGTCCCAGGGGACGCCAAAGGCAACCAGAACGCGAGGCGCAACAACATGAGGGGCAACGATATGGGGGAGACTGGCATAGCAGGGGGAACATCGACATGGAATCGGCGATACACCGCCGATAGGTCGGTGATAGACCTCCGATCGTGAATTTGCATGTTCCTGGGCAGGGTGGGGCTGTCGGGCCCCTGTCGGCTATCAGTGGGCGATTGGGGGTCGATGCATCCCCCCTATGCTTGTCCCCCCCATCGCGTCAATTCAAGCTTCGCGCGGCCCGCTTAGCTTCGACCGGAAGAGGTGCGCTCTCGACCCGCGAACCAAAAATTGTCACCCCCATCGTTGCCCCTGACAACGACAGGCGGGCCGCAAGTGCCCCGCAGACGGGGACTTTGAGAAATCAGGCTTCTGGCGCGCCCGAGAAAATGCAGCTGCGGGCCCAACGTTTCTCCACTCTCCGCCTCCTACCGCCGCAAGAGCAATGTTTTGGGCGTCGCTTACTCGGGGGGGCAATGAGATGGAGGCGGGCGAACGGTGCACCACTGCGCCGTACAGGCCCCCTTTGGGGCCCTAAAGGGCCCCTTGGGGGGCCCAGAAGGGCTCCTTTTCGGCAGCCCTCGCTGCCCCTTCGGTTATCGCCCCCCCCATTACGCGGCGCCTAAGCATTTGCAGCGCTCTGGCAGCTGGTCCTCCCCCCCCTCGTCCTCCTTCTCCTCGTCCCCCTCCTCCGCCGACTCCCCCTCCCCCTCCCCCTCCTCCTCCTCCTCCTCCTCCTCCTCCTCCTCCTCCTCCTCCTCCTCCTCCTCCTCCTCCTCCTCGGCCCTGGGGCCGTCCCTGGCACCCTCCACCCGCGTCCTGGCCTGGAGGGGAATTCTTCGCGCGCCCCCTGGGCCTGGTGCGGGGTCATCACCCCGCGACGACAGGGCACCAGAGCACATGCTCCGCTCTGGCCGTGCCTGCCACAGCCACCTCGGAGGAGTGTATCTATACACCCATTCCCCAGATGCAGAATGTATGGCTGAACGAGTGCGGCCCTGCCCGCACCTGTCCAAATGTGTCGAGGACGCTGCGTATCGGATTCGCGCCCAGTGCTGGCGATTGCGTCAGTGCCATTCTTGGCCCACGCGGTCCCCCCCAAACTCAGCCCGAATAGGTCGGTGTATAGGTGCACGCCTCGCAACCTCTCCTGTGATATGGTCGGAATCACGATCTGAGACAGCTGAGATGAGGAATGAAGCCCCTCTCCTGCCCCAGTCGTGCCGGAACTCTCGCGGATCCCACAAAGAATCGTGTGAAAAGCTGTTGGGGCCCTGGTACCCTTCCGAACCAGAAGCTTTCCCTACCTGGAGTCCTGATTCGACATGCTGACAGTCTGCGCGCAAAGTAGTGCTGCACTTGAAGACTCGACCCGTGGTCGGGGGATACCTGCCCCACAACCTCGCCCTCGAAAAACGGAAGAATTAGTGGGGGGGGACGAGGAGGAGACAGGCCCCGATACAGAACCCTAAGATGGCTCCAGGAAGCTCACCGCTGGCCTACAGAAGGAAACTCCCGAAAAGGAACGAGGCCTTGTGGTTCGTGGCGGACGCCTCGGTGTAACAATGGCCAACATATGTTGATCTAGCCGGGCACCCGACATGCTTGGGGGCTCGGTGGAGAGATCCAGCAAACATTTGGTTAATACACAGGAAGATGCCCCAGGCCGAGGAAAGAGGTCCAGCCAAATCAGGCCCTATAAGAAATGCCAGAACGGTAAGATGCAGTATGAATATCTGGCCGACTTCGAAACTGTGGGCACTGCTGAATTATCTTCTCTCTGGCATTCTGATCGCCTTTCCGCAATACTACGGACCTTTTCGCAGATGTTGTATCAGACACGTTCGCACCTAAGGCGCGAAGACAATCTGACACAACAACAATTTCAACCGCGCCCTCGTACCCCTCCATCAGTAACTCAATGCTGAAGTGCCCTTTTGTCACTCGCGCGTTGCCTCGCGCCTGTCCCCGTCAACTTTGGGTTGGGGGGGGACCGGGGCTGTCGACACTGTCTTGATGCACTTTGTCGCCGCGTGGGGCGACACCTGCTTTGGAGCGACCCATGGGCGCGGGCACGAGCTCTCGACGTCGGCAGCGTTCAACGGCCAATCGTCTTGCCACACAAGGGCCGGCCCGGGCCCGGCAAGGTGGCGCCGTGGCGCCGTTCTGCTAAAACAATCCAGCGAGCACTCGAATTCGGCGGCGTTCGGAAAGGCGAAAACGGGGAACGCGAGAGTTCCTGGCCCCTCGGGTGCCCCACATCTGGCCGAACCTGGCGCATTTCCGCAAACACGCAGGGGCTGACATCCCGTCAGATGATGAGGCTCAGCCGAAATGCCTAAGAGCCCACAGACAGCCAAATCTAGAGGTGAAGAGTCAAGTAAGGATCCACACCCTGGGCCGACCATGTTGCAACCGCAACTGCAACGGCGCAGACTATAACACAAGTCACAAGGCCGCGCGAACAACGCAAGGGTAACACATGTCGATGTAATTGCTTCACCCCTGGCGTCTGTCGACGCAATCGCTACATCCTGACCGTGTTTGACTGCATGGCAAATAAACATTCCTCAAACCCGCGCCTGCAAGGATAAGACAAGGTGGACGAAGGGGGGTAGCAAAAGGGGGCGACTCAGCTGCATGCACCTATCTTTCCTGGCTGCAGGATGCGCCCAGGAGCGACCATTGATTCAGAAATGCGCCCAGTGGTTGAGCCCAAACCATCTGCGCGCAGCAGATGCTCTGCCCCCCCAATGCCCAGACCCCCGACGTCATGATTGTCCCATGACGTCGACCCCAAAAGGTTTTGACCTATTCCCAAGGACATGTTTTTATCCCGAGTCGTTTTTGACGGTCCCGAGGCCCGGTGAGGGACCCCAGAAATTATCTCAGTGCGACCCTACCTAGGAGTTGGAGCATTTAGGAAAGCAACATCTACATCTACACTATGCTATGCTATGCTATGTTGCGCTATGCTATAATATGTTATGATATGATGTGCTATGCTATGGTATGCTATGTTGCGCTGTGCTATGCTAAGCAATGCCATGCTATGATATGCTATGATATGCTGCGCTATGCTATGATATGCTGCGTTATGTTATGTCATGATATGGTATGATGTGCTATGATATGCTATGCTAGGCTATGCTATGATATCATATGCTGCGCTATGCTGGGCTATGCTATGCTATGCTATGCTGCGCTATGGTATGCTATGCTATGCTATGATATGCTGTGCTGTGCTATGCTATGATATGCTTTGCTATGATATGCTGCGCTGTGCTATGCTAAGCAATGTTATGCCATGCTATGACATGCTGCGCTATGATATGCTATGCTATGCGATGCTATGATACGCTATGCTTGGCTATGCTATGCTATGCTATGCTGTGCTAATGCTGCGCTGCGCTATGCTGCGCTGCGCTAAGCTAAGCTAAGGTAAGCTAAGCTATGCTAAGATAAGCTAAGTTAAGCTAAGTTTAGCTAATATAAGCTAAGCTACGCTAGGCTAACCTAAGCTAAGCCAAGCCAAGCCAAGCTAAGCTAAGCTAACATGAGATAAGCTAAGATAAGCTAAGCGAAGCTAAACTAAACTAAACTAAGCTAAGCTATGATACGCTATGCTATGCTATGCTATGCTCTGCTATGCTAAAGCTCAGCGAAGCTCAAATGAAGGTAAACTAAGCTAATATAAATATGAGCTAAGATGAAACGAAGCTAAGCTAATATGAAATAAGCTAAGCTAAGATGAGCTAAGGTAAGATGAAATAAGCTAAGCTAAGATGAGATAAGCAACGCGAAGCTAAGGACACGTCGCTGGGGGAACCGCGGGGCGGATGCCAGGGGAACCGCCAGGGGCGGGCCCCACTGCCCGACCTTTGAAGCCTCCGAGTAAGAACCCTGCTAGGCAGAGCCCAGGTAGGGAAATAACAACAAAAAATCCGTCGTGATTTTTTCATGACTCGAGGGGGTCTGGTGCCCAGTGCCCATTTCGCCCTCCACGGCAAAAGCTTCCAGCCCGTGTCTGCGATGGCCAGGAGCTCGCTCTCTCCGACGTCCATTCCCCGTGCGTTTTCCGATTCGCCTTTAATTTTCGCCAGATGGTCAAGGATGCTCCCCGATGGTCCTGGCCGGGGAGAAGTGCACACGTTTGAGCGGTGCCAAGGGAGAGGGGTCTCGCCCGAGAAGCCCTGGGCCAACTGGCCCT